TAGCATGAAACCTGAACTCACTTCCCCCTCTTCATAAAATGCTTTCTCCATATTGAAATAAAGTACAATAATTCGCAATAGTTCTGAGGAAAAATCAGTTGATTTAGTGAAACACTAGGTAACTGCTCAGGTAATCTGATTTAACGGAGAGGAACAGGAAGACTGGAAACAGTTCAGCACACGAATATGCATACAGTGAAGCATCTGCATCACATTCCAATGAAACCACTCCCTCAGCAATTGAAAAAAATTACCAATCAAGGCACCTAAACCTTGTTTGAGAGTTTTTTTTCAACGATACAATGCATTTTTAGTCATGTTTTGTCACATTCTTCCTAACCTCTGCCGTCAGGTACTTCTTAAGTTGACAGAGACTACATTCTCAAGTTGTTAAATCTATTTAGCCGTGCCACTGAGATTCTAGGAAACACCAGTCACTTAAATGGACTAGTAAATCAAAAATCCTTGTGGCACAGTACTGGCAGCTGACAATGAAAACTTAGTTTTGGCTCATCGGGGACTGCCCCAACGCTCAGTTGAACCTTCCTTTCCTCTTCTTCACTGTAATGTTGGTAGAAATGAACGGTATAGCTAAACTGCAGACGGAATATACCGCAGGGAAGGCATAAATTGCATATCAGAAGTTAAGCCGTAATTTGCTGTTGAAGAAGCATTATGTATTTTAAACCATTCTTTTCGCTAAAAACCAGCAATACCTCGCCGGTGGTTTTTTTCATGAGAAAGTGCTAATCAGTAAGTACGCGACTTACAGCGTCTTGATTGTTAAGTGCATTGTTTGGAGAAGTCCTATGAACTATAACGTCAAAACCCGGATAAAGTTTTTTTCAACGTTTGGTGTACTCACCAGTAACCTCACTTGGTTCTTAAATTGATAATCGTATTGATATCAAAATCATCGGCCAGTATATCTGATTCAGGGCAAAGGGAGCGCCAGAAAAACTATGCCACTGGTACTGGTTCGCAGAACCGTCGAAATAAAAGTATTCCTTGTCTCTTATTTTTATAGAACAATATCCCTTCTTCAATTGCAACCAGTGAGTACTCGCAGATCCTTTTGCAAAGCCGACGGAAAGAAGCCTGGTGAGTATATGTTGTATCTACAGAAATTTAGCTTTATAAATGCTATAAAGTACCCATTTTTCATGATTCACCTTTGTCATAGCCCCATTACTCATTTGAACGCTCTATCACAGTTTACAGCACCGGAAACAAATATCTTTATCTGTTTTTGCACATAAAATCAATAAATTTATTCCTCACTTCTTAAAAAGTTTATCGCAAAACCAATATGGCGTACAGTATTATGACAAAGAAAACTTGAAAGTTTTAATATCATAGTTATCAAGCAACGGGAAGGCTTTGCATAATGCACTCAAAGACCAAAGCAAAGGTTTAATGTAGAGTCTCGTTAAAAATTGAACACAATATAATTTTGCAAATTTATTAATGATCAGACTAGAAGATGCTAAAACTGGTAGTCTCTTGAGCGCCTCTTTAAGAAGCAGTTGGAACTTTCCAAACAAAGTTCAATACTTTTACGTTTCAACAATAGCAAAAAAAGCGCCGAAACTGTCTTATTAGTTAACACTCCTGCATAACGTAACTAGAATGTTGTCGTCCTGATAATGCTAACTTAGAAAGTATATATATATATATATATATATATATATATATAT